GACATGCTTAAATGGAGTTTTCATGATTTGACATAAACCAATTCTGGCTCTTAAATATTTTATTAATTTGTTTTTTTAATGATGCAAAAAATACATACAGTAAATTATAGAGATCAGAGTTTAGGATTTAAACTTTCAAAGCAAAGATGTACAACAAGCATAAATGCTTATCCATAAAAGAGTGGTTTGACCTCTATAAACCTTGTTTTCATCATCTCTAAAAATGGAATAATAACTTTACCCTTTGTTAAGTTTATTTGGCAGGTTATATAAGCAAGCATTTACAAAGTACTTCACCATGCTTCTAGTGCTTGTTGCTCAGTAAATGACTGTTGATGTCATTATTATATTCCAGTATTATGTCAGATACTGGGGAAATGAACCATAATGAAAACACATACCAAGTCTGAAGAAGCAAGTAGAAAAACATAGTAGTGAAAAGCTATGTAACTACATTATAATCAAGTTATTGAATTACAACACAATAATTGTAAAAGCTTTAATATAACAAATGCAACTGAATGTGGAGATGGAAGTGAAAGGCCATTTTCTTATGTATGTTATCTCACACTATCTACATGAGGTTTTCCATCAATATGGAAAAAGATTATGTAAAATGTTTAAAAAATGAGATCTCATCAATGTTGGGGTAAGAAAAATCTCTAAGGTATATTATTATGAAGATGCAGAGACACAAATGATTGTATGCTGATTATGCTGCCATTTGAGTAAAATGAAATACACTCATGCACACATATGTGATTATTATTGTAATAATACATAGAGAAAAACCATAAACAGTATTTATCCTGGAGGGCAGATACTGAAGAACTGGGGTACAGTAACAAAATGGAAATTTGCTTTTCAACTTAAAGTTTTCAAAATATTTTCCATTACTTTATATTATGTCTATTTAGAATTTTAATAGCATATTTAGGGAAAGCATAATATTGGAAAGTATTTTGATGTATTAATAAAATGTATATAGAGTAGTCATTCAAGAAAGGCTAATATTTTAAGCACCTAATTAATAGTATCATTTAATTAAAGAGTTCCTTCTAAAAGCCATCAGCCAATTAAATTTTTTATTTATTATTATCATCCTTCCAAAATTCTTGGTAAATTTCCAGAACTTCCTTAGGGTGTCAGAAATATTCATTGATCTGCATACAAACTAAACTATTTATCAAATGTCTTACAGTTTTCCAACATTTCTACCATTCCTTTTATTTTTCCTATAGTTTGCTAAGCTCAGAATGACATTCTCATCTTCCTTTATGACTATTCTATATATATATATGAGTGAAGTAGGGATTTCTGAGGCTCCAAAATCCAAGGGCTTTACTTCAGTAAACTTTGCTCAGGTAACCATGCATCTCTCCATCTAGGTCACCTGGACTCTGGATTGAGGCCATCACTTCATCTTTGCTGCTCTAAGACACATATTGCGTCTCTTGGACTTTTCCAATTTTTAGTTTGGCTTCCCCCGCATGGCAGCATGGCATGAACCTATTTTATGTATGTGTATTTTCTCACAAATATGCATATATTTAAAAAATATGTATATATAAATTATGTATATGTATGCATATATGTGTATATATATATACATATCAGTTCAGTTCAGTCGCTCAGTCGTGTCCGACTCTTTGCGACTCCATGAATCGCAGCACGCCAGGCCTCCCTTGTCCATCACAAACTCCTGGAGTTTGCTCAAACTCATGCCCATCGAGTCGGTGATGCCATCCAGCCATCTCATCCTCTGTCGCCCCCTTCTCCCCCTGCCCCCAATCCCTCCCAGCATCAGGGTCTTTTCCAACGAGTCAACTCTTCACATGAGGTGGCCAAAGTATTGAAGTTTCAGCTTCAGCAACAGTCCTTCCAATGAACACCCAGGACTGATCTCCTTTATATGTATATGTATATACATGTAATATATATGTATATGTAATACATATATCTGTAATGCATGTATACAGATATGTAATTTAAACCTAAAGCACATTGGGCCTCCTATAGCACTCACTATTTTAAAGTAAGCTGTTAAACTATAGGAGTTTGTAGCAGACACAGCAGGCTGCCTATTAAATACCCATTTTCTCTTTGTGCTTACTAAGACAGCCCCAGTTCTAATTGGGGTGACATTATGCTTTGCTAAAAATACGCTTTTTACCATCCCATCTGGCTGCTAGGTAACAGCAATGTTGCACAGGTCTGTACAGGGCCACCCCCTCGGTCGTTCAGGCCTCCAAGCGAGTGTTTTGTGGGTCTCTCTTTCTATAAACAGTTTGATTAAAAATATATTGCAGACTTCCGGTGAGCTGCATTAGACATATTTGTCCTATTTCTCCTGATGAATGCAACTGAAAATCCTGTTTATTATATATAAAACAAACATAGAAAGATGCTGAATGGTGAAGAAAAGTAGATAGCCTGCCTAGGAATATGGTAACAGAGGGATGATACAAGGTAGCAAGTTCTTTCAGCTTTCTCTTTATCTTGTATATACCAGACTGTGAAGCCAGTCACCCAGAAATGTCAGTGGACACAGATTTAAGAAAAATAAATAAAAAAATAAACAAGAAAAGCCTGCTTTCTCTGTTAAAGGGCCAAGAAAGGGTAGACATGCAGGGCAAAAAGTTTTGGAAATAACCACTCTGGTCCAGTAAAATAGCACATAAAAAAATAAGGAAGAACCCCACTCTCAATTCCATCAGCAAAAACTGAGTGGAAACCAAAATTTCACAAGGTGTCCCAAACTCCTGGTCAGGGTAAGGTCAGAGAAGGCACAGTCAGGAGCCAGCACTCTCCTCACCAAAGATCTTGGAGTGTCCCTGCTCTGTTCAGACTAAGTTGACAGCATAAAGGAAATTTTTATTTCTGCAGGCTCCAAGAGACCCACCCTTGGAGAGGAGCCAGGAAGGACAGTCCAGAGATACAACACAGGCCAACCAAGAGCCAGCGAACCTCAGGGTAGACGTTTTCTTTTACAGCTGGAAATTGGGACATGCTTTTTTTTAAACTCTGGACTACAATGCAGGAAGAGCGTGCCGCTAAGGGGCTTGAAGCAGGAGTGCATTCGGGGTTCTGTGGAGCACGGGGCTGAGGCCACGGCCCTGCTCCCCCGAGGACATGCATTCCGCCTCAGGTAGGCGCTGAAAAGCAAACCAGCAAAACTCCATCCTGAGAAAACAAGCTCGTGGGGGGTGATGGTGCCAGGCACCCAGCCACAGCAGGGGCATATTTTTCTCTGGCTCACCTCCCTCTCTCTCTGGTCTTTTTTTTTTTTGGATTGTATGTTTGTTCTTTTTCTTAAAGAACATTAGTTCAGTCCCAGGCCCTGTGAGCACGAGCAGAGGCGAAGGCGGGCCCTGGCGCGCGGTGGGGGCTGCTGCAGGGCCCACTCTGGGTCCTTGGAGGGGTTTCTTGCTTAGGCTCCTGCAGGTCTTGACAGTCGGAGGGTCAGTCAGGACAGAAACGCAGGGACGCCCCTCTGTGAGTCCGCATAAAGGAGAAACCTTGCCTTTGACCTGAGAATGGGGGCTTGCTTCCTCCAGAGCCTGCCGGACCCTGGCTACCGTCCAGAGGGAGCTGGGGGGGCAGCCGCTGTTCCACCCAGGAGGCCCCACGTCCTAGGGCGCCGGGGGCCTGGGCCCCCGATGTCATCTCCTCCAGGAGGCTGAACCCCCGAAGCGGCAGCGTGGAGAGCTGGGTCTCCTCACACAGGGGCAGGGCCTTGGGGGAATAGCTGTTCCAGTTCCTTCCTGTCCACACGTTTCCCGCCTCGGCCCGGCTGGCCCCTCTCTCCCTGTCCCACCCCATTCACTGCCAGGACACCAGGGTCCCTCTGGCTCCAAGGGCCCTAAGTGGGCGAGAGGTGGTTTTCCACATCCTTACACAAGAGGACCCGGGCCCTGAGGCCAAATAAGAGGAAGAGGACACAAGAGGTGATGCCGGTGACCTCGATGTGGATGCCATGACAGCGCCCGCGGTGGACGCCCAGTTGGGGGCCTGCCCTTCCCGACAGTCACATAGTGGGCCCAGGGATGCCCTTTCAGAGGCTCCCCTCAAAGACACAAAGCAGGCTGTGGCATTGCCACCCCCATGCTGGCCGCGGCGAGCAGCTCCACTCGCACACTGCAGTGGGGTCAAGCTGGCCGAGGCTCTAAGAGAAGACAGGTCCAGGCAGCAGGATGGGGCCTGGGAAGGAGGCCTGGCTCGCTGGGCGGTAAAAACACCTTGAAGCCACCCTCTTACTAGGCCAGCGGGTGCCAGGGCTCCCGCAGCAGCTACAGGGTGGAGCTGCCCAGGACCCTCACTGAAGTCTTGGGGCGAGGTGGTGGGGAGACGCGGTTCGCCTAGAGTGCTGGCCAGGTTGGGAGTGAAGGCCGAGCTGCAACCCCCACCTCCCAGGTGTGTAGGCTTCGATGTAGAAACTGTAGGCAGTGGAAGGCTCCAGGTGGCTCCCCAGGTGCTGGAAGGGGCTCTTGCTGGTGACTTCCCGATGCTCCAGCTCTGGGGAGTCAGCGGCCTTCCTGATGTACAGCCCCCCAATCTCCTTGGTCTTTATCAGGGGCCCGGTCCAGGACACGCGCACCGCAGTGGACAACAGGAGGCCGCCTGCAGCCGCTCAACCCACAGCAGAGTCAGTGTGGTGCTGGCTTAAGAGGAGCTGGCACTGTTCTCGGCCACACACTGGTAAAAGGCCTCATCTTCCGGGCGACTCCAGAAATGGTCAGATTGCTGTTGTCATCACTGGGCATGATATGGCTTCTGGGACCTGGCACCCGTCCATTCTTCAACCACATCACGTGAGGGGGCAGCTCACCCTGGGTTTGGCAGGTGAACATGGCTTTGTCCCAGCCAGCCAGGAGCTGGACTGGGGTTGCAGGGCGAGCTCTGCTGGGGCTTGCATCACCAGCCGGCCCCAGGCCCTTCTCCTCACCCGGGTGCCGGGCCTTCTGGCCACGTAGACTTAGAGACGCCTGAGCACTGGACGGTCACGTCTGAGACAATGACGTCCCCACTCCTGGCACCTGGATGCCCTCCACCCCGAGGGGGTGTTCATGCAGAGGACTCCAGGGCACAACGGGCGCTGTAACACACACAGGCACTGCAGCCTGGTGCAGAGTCAGGGTGAGGCTCTCAGGCCCCACGAGGACTGCAGGCTCCTTGCAGGCCCCGGAGCCCAAGCCTGTCACGGTGAAGACGCCGCTGTCCTTGGATCGAAGGCCGGTTGTCTGCAGCACCCTCTTGGGCAGCCGCGTGCACCTCTCCTCGTCCGTGCCATCGGGGACCTTGTTCTTCTCCCAAGTGATGAGGGGCTTGGGGAGCACATAGATTTGCACTGTAAGCATGCCACAAGGCCCTCCTCACCCCAGCGGCCTGAGGATACACGTGGAAGTCTGACATGGTTGCAGCCTGGATTCGGGCCTTCCGACTGACCACCAGCCCAAAGCGGTTCGGAGCCACCTAGCTATAGTCGCCCTCAGCTGAAGGGCTGCCTGCTCCATCGGCAGGCAGTGGCAGATCATCAGGGACCCACCGGCCAGCACAGGGGACTGGGCACTGTCCTGCAGCCCCACCCCGTCCTTCTCCAGGTGATTAGCACTGGAGGAGTCCGCCCCACCTCGCTGCCCAGCGTTACGACGGGCTGCCCAGAGGCTGCAACATCACCGCTGTCTCCGCGGCAAATGCCGGCTCAGCAGAGTGGCCAAGAGCCTCGCTCGCTGCAGGCGAGAGCACAACAGCAGCAGCGGCAGCAGGAGCCGGGGTGGCCGCTCCGGGGCGCGGGGCGCGGGGCAGCAGTGGGGCTCACGGTCTGCTGGGCTCCGCGGCGCCCAGCTCCGGGGCCTCCCGCAGGCCCACAGTGTTCCGCGGGGCTGCTGCCTGGGCGATCCCGAGGGGCTGGGGGCTGGGGCCACATGCTTGCCCAGGAGCGCTGGAGGCGCAGGGCGAGCGCGACCCCTCGCACCCTCTTGCAGCCACCCCGGTGATCAGGACTGTATTTTGAAGAAATAAATCTCAAGTGTTAATAATTGAGTCCACCAAGACATAAGATCAACACCCTGAAATTAATTGCATTTCTGTATACTAGCAATAAACTTGGGGAATCCAAAAATAAAAATGCAGTACCATTTACAACTCAAAAGAAAAAAAAAAAAAAGACAGAAACCCAGAGGTTTAAATCTAACAAAACACATGCATGTAAACTAAAAAGTATAAAATGCTACTGAAGGAAACAAAAAACTGTCTAAATGATGAAATATATTACGCCTCAAAAAGAACCTAAATAAATGGTGACACATACCATGGATTGAAGGGATTCAACAAAGTAAAGATATCAATTCTTTGAAAATTATTGTACAAGTTTATCCTATCAAAATCTGAGCAAATTTGTTGCTGTTTATATATATATATATATATACATATATATATACATATATATATACATATATATATACATATATATATACATATATATATACATATATATATATACATATATATATACATATATATATATGTGACAGTTTATTCTAAAATTTCTATGGAAAATCAAAGGGACTACAATAGCCAATATTCTGGTAAAGTAGATTAACAGAGTTAGTCAAGATTTATTACATAGCTTCAGTAGTCAAGATGAGACTCGGAATAGACAGACAGATCTCTTGTGCAGAATAGAGAATTCAGAAACAGTTCCACACATTTACAACCAACTGATTTTTGACAAAGGTAAAAAACATGTCAACAAATTGTGCTGGAGCAACGCATATTCATACTGAAGAATTATACCTCAGCTTATATTCATACTGAAGAATTATACCTCAGCTTAAACTTCAAAACTTATACAAAAAATTTGTGTGGAATGAATGATAGATTTAAGTGTAAAACTATAAAAGTATAAAACTTAAGAGATAAGATAACCTAGAGAAAATATTCTGGACTCAGGGTTTGTTGAAGAGTTCCTAGACATGACATCAAAACCACAGTCCATTAATGAAAAAATAGACATCTGATTTTATCAAAATTAAAAACTTAATCCATTCGAGGTTTAGACCTTGGTGAAGAGTTCATTGATATGACACCAAAACCATAACCTATTAATTAAAAAATAAAATCTAACTTTATCAAAATTACAAACCTAATCCAACTGGAAATGGGGAAAGTCATGAAGGGATATTTTATTGAAGAGAATTTTTCGATGGTAAATAAGCACAAGAAAAGATGTTCAACATCACTAGCCACTAAAGAATGGCAACTTTATACCACAGTGGAATATCACCACACACTTTGTAGAACAACTAAAATTAGCAACAGTGACTAAATATCAAACGCTGGCAAGGTTACAGAGAAACTGAATCTCTTATGCATTGCTGGTGGGAATGTGAAATAATACTACCATTCTGGAAAACAGTTTGACAGTCCCTTAAAAAATAGGTTAAACTTACACCTAACAAGTGACCCAGCAATTATTTGGGCTTCCCTTGTGGCTCAGGTGGGAAAGAATCTGCCTGCAGTGTGGGATACCTTAGTTTGATCTCTGGGTTGGGAAGTTTCCCTGGAGAAGAGAATGGCTACCCACTCCAAAGAATTCCATGGACAGAGGTGCCTGGCAGGCTATAGTCCATGAGGTCGCAAAGAGTAGACATGACTGAGCAACATTCACTCACTCAGACTCACTGGGCAATTATCTCAGCAAAATGAAACCTTATGTCCACATGAAAACCTACACATGGCCGCTCATAGAATGACTTTTGGAGTGGTAAAAACTGGAAACAACTCATAAATTAATGGCTAAACACCTGTGATACTCTGGAATTTCACTTGGAAATAAAATTGATTGAATTACCAACTTGAAAGGATCTCAAAGGCATTGTGTTGAGTGAAAAAAGTCAATCTCAAAATAGTTACACACTACTTAAGTATATTTATATAACATTCTCTAAAAAAATTATAGAGCTGGCAAAGGGATTAGTGATTGCCAAGAGTTATAAAATGTTGGGGGAGAGGTGTGTATATGAGGATAAAAAGGTAGCATGAGAGGATCATAGATGTAGAGAATGGTTAGCAAACTGGGGAAAGGGAGCTGGGGTGAATCGGGAGATTGGGGTTGACATACGCACACTGCTATATGCAAAATGGATAACTAACAAGGACTCGCTCTGAAGCACAGGGAACTATACTCAACACTCTGTAATGGCCTAAATGGGAAAAGAATCTAGAAAAGAGTAGATACACATATAAGTGATTCACTTTGCTGTACCCCTGAAACTAACATAGCATTATAAATCAACTGCTCTCTAATAAAAACTAGTGAAAAGGATAACGAAGAAAAATTTGTGGTGATGGAATGGTTCTGCATCTTGATATAGTGTGGTGGTGATTACATGAACTTATACATGTAGTAAAAAGACAATGAAACATGCAATCCGTCAAAGTCAAATCCTTGGATTTGATACCATACTCTAATTGTACAAGATGTAGCACTTGGGGAAACTTGGATGAAGGCTGTGGCACACGTCCCTGTATTATATTTGCAACTTTCTACAAAGCTGTTACTATTTCAAAATAAGAATGCATATTGATATCTATTATATACATATGTACTATATGCATGTGCATTATAAGCATATAATGTTATAAATAATGCATATTATATAAATCATGTTATATATAATTGATTTAATGTGCCCATGTAAAGTATACTGATTTACCAGTTGATAATATGACAGTGTGAAGAGAGGCTGTTACATATTTTTTATTATCCAAGCAGTGTATATGATGATTCTTCATGAATCCCACCCAGCGTGAGGTGTGCTAATACATGGTGTCTACTTCCCTTACAAATGTTCCTACTGAAGGACCCTAGTTTACTCTTGAGCTTTTTCCTCCACTCCTTTTTTATAAAAATAGGAGTTTTCAGGGGAACCTAACACATAGTTTGTGCCTCTCAAATGCTCTGCTTTCGGTATTGACATCACTCGGTTCCCTTCTTGATGTGTGTTGCTTTTCTTTATGAGATTAGCTTTTCTTTTTGTTCACTGCTATATTCCCTGGATCTAGAACATATTAAGAAATCACAGTAAAATTTTCAGTGACTGGATGTATAAACTAAATGCATCAACTAAAGAAATTAAACAAATTTTTTCACAGCTGCCAACAAAGTGTAAGATGCTCTATGTTGGGTCTCAGAAGGATATATATGTGTTAAATGAAAACACATGAATGGCTTCACCACTCCTTTTTTCTTTTTTTTTTTAAACAGTTATCTTTAAAATTTTTTTATTGAAGTATAGTTGATTTACAATGTTGTGCATTTTTTTAAATTAAATAATCCTTTGATTGATTAATGAGACATTGTACCTTTGCTTGATTTCTGTAGTAAATATTTATAGGAAAACTCAAATTATAATCAAACAGGAATATTTTTTAAGCATTAAAATAAGCAAAAAGAACCATGGTGAGATAAATTTCTAAATCCAAAACTTTTGGAGGAAACAGTAAGGATGAAACAAAAGGAATGTATATCTATTTTCATTTTGTTTATTTATTTGGCTGTGCCAGGTCTTATTTGCAGCACACGAAATCTTTTTTAGTTGCTAAATCTGGAATTTTAGTTCCCTACGCAAGGACTGAACCCGAGGTCCCTGAATTGGGAGTGTGGATTCTTAGCCACTGGACCAACAGTGAAGTCTGAGGAATATATATTTTTAAAATAAAAGAATGTAGAGAAAGGAAGAGGAAGAAGGATAAACAAAAATGGAAATACAAGAGGCAGAATGACAGACAGGCTGTACAATGCTCACCCTCATCTTAGTCATCCATAATAACTCTTGCATAATGAAAAGCTTTTATGTAACAACATAAGAGATTCATCCCTCAGGACATGATTCAGTACAACAAAAATAAAATAAAGGTAATTAGTTCAATGATTTTTCAAGGAGAAACTGGCTGTTCTGCATTGTGCCATGTGGTGATATGCCTGTAGGAGGGACAGTAAAATAGGGAAAGAAAAGATAAATGAAAAATGAACTTAATTAAAAATACATGTCATCTCCAGACAAACTGATTTAAATCATCCAAGTTGTAGAAGAACAATTTTAAACATGCAACAATTTATAGAATATTGTTTGTTAATCCATCCTAAGAAATCTAATGAAGATGACCTTTCCAATCGAAGGCCAAGGGAAATTTTGTTTTATAAAAAGTTGTATAAAATTATCCATGGGGACGCCCCTGGTGGTTTAGCAGTTCAGACTCCATGCTTCTACTGCTGAGGTTGTGAGTTCCACCCTTGTCCTGGAAACAAGATCCTTCATGCCAAGAGGCAGGAGGCTTCCCCGTTGGCACAGTG